GAAGCCAACAGGCTTATAAAATCTGATTAGAAGAACGTTTTTGCATACATCCTCGTTTCGTTACAAAATGCACTATAAAAATGCACACAAAAAAAGAATAAATATTACAACAAGGCCGATTGGTTTGCGAAATGCAATGCGAGTGCCATACCGGCGAAATCCCATCCGGTGCATTTTTCCGCTGATTAGAAATAATCGCCGCGTTGTTGCGAGGCTATATTATCGAATATCGTCGACATATTCGCGATTGTATATGTGTGCGTTCCTCTATTTCGCTCGTTAGTCGATTTTCCAGAATTTGCGGACGCGATGTTCTTGCACGAGTCACGTATCGCCAGACAGGCTGCATTCCGGCGATCGGCGCGTAATAATCCGTTGCGTGTTCGCAAGCGAGAAAACCGCCGCGGGAATCGTTTTCAGGTCGTACACGCGGCGGGTTTATTTATCCGGCAATTTTCGCGCGGATACGATACGACACTCTCCGTCTCGTCGTGGTCCACTGCCATTTTTGCGACGCGAGACGCCGTAGGTGGTGTCGTTAAGAATTTTTAACGCTCGCATAATTGCGCGGTCGACGATGACGAGAGTTCGCTAATTATCTTTACAGCGTGTCGCGAAACGCGAGTTTTTTCCATCTTTATGTCGTTTCAATATTTTTTGTGCGACAGTTTTTTTTTTAATCATAAATCTATTGTTCGCTATCTTATTACATTTAGTATTAAATATTTTTTGCAAGGCGAATAAATTAAATTATATACGAAATTACTAATTGTACTGTACTTGACGAAAAGAATTTTCCTTCTGTAAATTTCTAACAAAAGCTGAGAGAGAAGGAAGTCTGGCACACATTTCATTACGGATGATGTTTACGCATTTGTATCATCTTTACGAGGGGAAAACCTCTCGAGGGGAATAGCGGGAAAAAAAACACTTAGCACCCTCTGAGAAGAACACGCGTTGTACATATATACATGTATGGAAGTGGGCACGCGACACGATGGGAAAAGGCGGGGTCATTAATTGCGCTTTGTGAGCCTCGCACAAAGCGAGATCGGGCACGATTCATCGCTTAATGTAAGCGGTATACCGGCCTGTACAGGATGCTCTCAAACGGGCCGCAAGAAAAACGTTTTTCACGATGTATTGTATACAAACTGACACACACACATGTATACTTGCGATGAGAGCGGATAGAAGCACGTGCGAGAATTATGGCGCAACTTGAGAGGAAGTTTTCCCGTTGGAACTTTAAAAGAGAGAGAGAGAGAGAAGTTTCAAAGCTATTTCTTAATCTTTCGGTTACATATCACATGGAAGATGAATATTTTTTGCCAGGTTTACCTAGTTTCTAACTTTACGCTCAATTTAGTGATAGAAATGCACAGCGGAGTCCGATAATTTCTACAGATATCGATTGCGTCTGTGCGGGCGAAAAATATTGCTTGTCGTACTTTAATCAGTAACTTTATTTTTATTTACGATTAAAAAAGCACGCAATCTCTGAAATTTAATCGATTAATTTTATTGGCAATATTGTAGGTCGCACAGAATGTTGTTCATGTTTCTCTTGATATTTAAAGCGTTCCGCATAAATCTATCAAATTTAAAAATAATAGATTATTGATATATAATTATCCGGAAAAAATTCATTGAAAATGAAAAAGGTAGAACGATAGCCGTCGTTACGACCACGTCAGACCGCTTCCGGAATATTCTCTACGGACCACGTAAGGCCACAGAAACGATCGATTCTCCAGACATTCAGTATGCCGACCATATGCTGCTGGATTCTCTGCTGCCAGCAGCGTAACCTTTGCGCGTACACCCGCGTATTAATTAGAGAGAGAGAGAAGCAATTACAGCCGGACGCGAGGTTACGCAGACATGCGGGTGTCATCGCGGTTAATTACTACCGGGCAAGACACGTGTCCGTCTTTGATTCGTAAAAGAAGCTTGATTTGCCGAACATGCGACCGGATCGATCTCGAATGATTGTAACACTCAAAAATGAAAATTTATTTGACATTTTATACTCGGATTTACTTATAAAATAACACATCATTTTTTATGTGATGTCATAGCTCTTTAGAGATATTATTTATTTCTTTATATATTATGTAATAATATATTTTTTTTTAAATAAAAATATGATGAATTTTAATTCTGATAAAGCTTCTTAATAAGATATAATGCGTTTTTTATTACAGATTATTCTCTGCGTTATAACGATTATAAATATTATATGATTCCATTCTTCTCTCCAACTATTTAAAGTCGTGATATAATCGGTTCACACAATTCTCTCTATTTCTTAATGATAATTAGAAAATTCCGATCAGAAAGTTTGGCCATTTGCGCAGCTCATTTATTTCACTCGTGAGATAAAATTTAAACGCCTCTGATAAGAAGAAATATATCAAGTCTCATCCTCATACTAAATAAATCACACTCTGAAACGCCTCCTCGATTTATCAGGCTTCTCATTTATCATTCTGTGTATTTTCATAATAGATATTGAACATTTACGTTGCTTCTTATTACGTCATTATATCAAAGAATTTTTTCTTCCCTTTAGAAAAAGAAATAATGATATGAACAGAAAATTTTTGGACACGAAAATATCAGCGCGTGAACCTATCTTGTTAAATTCAAGCATCTCCTTGACATTATAACGCTGCGTTTATATACATACAACATATTGTAGTATAAGACCCGCATCCAGAAGCACATGCACAAACAATTGCTTTCCTGGACTCTCATCCGGTTCGCGGAGAGGGGAAGAGCCAGGAGAGGGAGAGAGAGGTTCCCGGGCGTGGTGAAAGCAAGAGTCTCGATCTCGGCCGAAGCTACGAGTCGTTTTGCTTCATAGGGCTCGTGCGCGGCCTTCTCAGAGAGCTTCAAGGACGGCGAAACGCATCGCCGGCCCGAATGCCGCCGAGGGGGAGAATCCGGCAAGGTCGACCAGCAACGTATTCTATTTCTTCCACTTGGATTTTTTCAATCGCGCCCGTGTGGACGAGAATAATTGGACGATGAACGCGACGATGCGCATACGTTTGCACCCGGCTCTCAAAATAAAATTCTGAGAAAAGCGACTGAGTATTAATTATTACTAAATTATTACAATAATTTTAAATCACGAAATAATTAAATAAAGATTTTTAATTATTAAGTTAATTATTATAAAAAAACTATTTTAGATATCAAAAATAACGGAATATATTTGATTTTTCAATCTATATTTTTCAACTAATATTTTTATATTGAACTGTTTAATAACTTCAATTTAGATGCGATTGTATATAAAAATAATAGAATACACACACGTATATATCGCGCTGCATATTTTGATGTATCGGGAAAATTTGCACGAGAGATAAAACTGTCTCTATTAGATATAATGGACACTCGGGTCCATAATAGTATCGGCAAATAATTTAATGCAGCGATAATCCCGCGCATTTGGCGATGCATCGCACCGAGACCGGTACCGCCTGCACTCTGTTCATTACACGCTGCGCGTTAAATTTATTGTATACGCCGCGTTCGGCGTTGATCACGCGTGCGTTCCTCGCGCTCGCTCGCTTATTAAATCCTTATCGGCATTCGTCGTCGCTATTTCAGTATAGCATCTCTGGCCTTTCTTTTTGCGGTTATATCCCGCGCGAATTCCTGGCGCGTCCGGTCCGCCCTCGATCATCGTATAGCTGGATCCTTCCCCTCTTCTCTCCTATTCCTTTTATCTCCCCTCTCTTTTCTTCTCATCTTTTTTTTCTCGTCTCTTTGTTTTCTGCTCACTTGCGATTTGCTTCGTATTGGGGATGGTCGATCGGTTTTAATAGATTGCGCCCGATGCTGTCTTCTTTTAATTAGATATGCTTCCGATATTTTTACACTCGATTAATCAATTTATCCATATCTTTTACTCGATATTTTTTAATTCTTAGATTTGCTAGACACACTTGTTATGTTTAGAATTTATTTTACGCTTCTCTCTTTTGAAGGATGCAATTTAACATCTTTTTCCAATTATGTATTAGATATAAATATATACTATAAATAGAAAGAAAAAAATTCAAAGTGGGAAGAGATTATCTGATCATCGGTGTCGTCTCTTATTTTCAATATTGTCCATCTATGTTTCAAGTCATTGCTTCGATTTTCTTCTCTCGCCTATGCTGAAATCAAGTGCGACGCGACCGTGAGTGCCGTATTTAGCTCACGAAAATGCAATGCAACATGTGATGCGTCGCACGTGAATGCATGGCAGGTGATTCAGGGATCACAGCCGAGATAAAAGGCTAAATATATGTACAGTGCTAGTGGATCGAATATTCTCGTTTATTTGCAGTCTCTTTTCTTCACGTGAAGTAAATAAACGAACGGTAACATTTCCGAGCGATTGCATCGTTTGCATCGTTTTCGGGCCATATTCAACCCTAACAATAAATGTATGATAAAGATAACCGATTGAGAAAATCATCTTATATAGAAAAATATTATATTTAAAATTTAATTAATCGATACTCTTCCAGATTATAAGTCAAATATATAAAATTTCTACGATCAAAATTTCAATTTGAAAAATTTGAAGATCAGATTTCGATTATCGAAAGCTTTTTTTTAATCAAAAATTTTTGGGTCTAATTACATATTACAATTTTGAAATATATCAATTAAAAAAATATTTTTTTTCGTGAAACGCTTATGATTCTCTCAAATATATTATTCAGATAAATTTTAAAAAATTAACTCGTAACAAAATCTCGAAACGAGTTCTTTATTATTGAAAGCTACTTTTGAATAATTTTATATTTATGTCGTTTGCGTGATATCATTTTTTACATAAACACTTATTAAAAAACACTTATTACAATGCAACATTGCATTGAATAACAGCTTGACTCAAATACCTCGCACAAATGCGGTTTAAAAAATTATCATTTTATAAGAGATTGCGAATTTTGTTAGATATTATCATTGTTATGTTTTTGTTTCAGACCTTGGACTTTGATAGAGATGGTCTCACGAAACTGAAAAAGGCTATCAAGGCTATCCATAATTCCGGAAACGGTAAGTCAAATATCATTATCAATTTTCGTGCAACTTGTTTTTACGATTGTGAACACAACAAACAATTTTCTCTTGAAAGAGGAAATTGATTTACATCTCAAAATATATGATAGAATATAAAATATAAATAATAAATTATAAACCGTAAAATTATATTTCTATGTCATATGTATATATTGAGCGTATCCAAATCCTATAATTAAATTTTTATATGTGACAGATTTGTTGACCAAGTTTTTTTTTTATTTTTATTTATTTATTTATTGGGTTTTTCAGTTCTTTTTCATTTTATTTTATGGAAATGGGTATCATTTAAATATACCAAAATTTTCAGAGGATACGTAATTGTTAGCTTCGATTATTCCGATGATTTGGCCGGTGAACAAAACTTTTCCATATCGCGATCATTTATTTATATTGTCATTCTGGGACACTGGACTCTCATGCGTATTGAATGTCGTTATCAGCGCTGATAATGGCAGTTGAATCATTGCAATAAGTATACGATTATTAGCGATACTTACTGCATATTAGCTACGACAGGTATAAAATAGTCGCGATATACATATATATTTATCTTTTTATATACTAAACGTGAGAGATCTCTCTGAACGAGAAAAATAATTTTGGCATAAAATTAAAAATTGAGCGAGAGAATATTTTATATTAATATTACAACATAAATTGATATAACATGATATTTCTCTAAATTTTCTAACAAATTCGAAAATATATATATTTATAAATATTTTTATATTTGTACGATCAAACTTAAAATTTAGAAACCTTATAAGATTTAATTAATTTATAATCGAACCCATACCGTAGCTTATAAAAATTAATGAAGTAATAAATCAAATCAGCTTTTATGAGATATAAAAATATGTTCGAAGCGATATGATATCGAAACGATTGGGGCGTTTACTTGTCCGATAACTTTTTTGGACCGCTTCGTAAAGCGAACGTAATATTACGTTCTAATTCTACGGGCGGGTAGCCTGGATTTTTTTTTATTGCGCTCGAATGGAAAAGTCTTGTCGAGGTTAACATCCGAAAGGTCTATAGACTCTAACTGAACTGACTTTTACGAGTCGGGTTTGCCGGCTTTCCGCCACTTCTCCATCGAGCAGACAGATCGATTTCTCTGGCGCCCCTTTTGTTTCCCCGGCCAGGCCATCCTACGGGAGAGTCTAGGAGCTTATATTCCGAATACCTCGCATTCTGGAGTCTGCGATCGGCATCTTTACGACTGCAGTTATATTCACGCCCTCGATCTATAAACTAGCGGACGATCGATAACGTGTCGTTGATAACGTCGACATCACACGCTGCATCGCTCGCAGAATACGTCGTAGTTATCAACCTGTGTCGTTTAATACATGATATGCTTTGACGTACAAAATCGTCAAAGTGCTTTAAAATATTTATTTGTGTGTTATATTTTTAATTATAAAAATTGAAAACAAATATACAACTATATTGAAAGTATATTATTAAAAACGAAATGTATAAAAAATAATGATTGTTGTATTCATTTTCGAAGAAGTTAATCGGCGTATACATACGTGTACATATTAGAAAACGATATTTCAACCGGCATTACAAAATCATTTTATGTCTGTGTTTTTAACGATTTTAAAAATTATGTCACTCCTTGTGTAAACGTTTAACATTATTTTTCTTTTTTTTTTTTGTTGCTTATTGGAGCAGTAAATGTCGGAGAGCGCGTTAAACTGATATAACTTACATGTGAACATCGTAGTTACGTGATTTTGTTGTCGCGCCTCAGTATATTATTAGTATATTATTATGCGCTAGCTTTCTGCGCGCGTATTAAATATACTTATTTATAAGTTTCATAGTTACGAAAGGATTACACCATAGATTGAATAATCTTGCGTCATCCTCAGAGTCTCGTTACAAGAATAGCAATAAGAGCAACGCGTCACGCACATTCTAAATTATAGATCGAAATTATATAATTATAATTAACGATTATACGAATATATTCCATTTATTAATAATTATGAATATTACGGTTATACTATACAATATTCTACGTCAGCTTTCATATTTTAATTCTCACGAATTAAAATTTTATATTTTAATTCTCACGAATCAAAATTTTATATTTTAATTCCCACGAATTAAAATTTGATATTGTATTTTATTGTGAAAATGTGATTTATATTGACGAAAAATAGCTGATCTCGACAAGAGATATTGACTTGAGTGTTTCTCTAACAAGAATAAAGCGGCAACGCGTGCCGAGCCGCGTTCTCGCGTTAGCCGCGAGACTAATGAGAGATTAAAGCGACGTTTCCTTTCCTTGGATCGATAACGCTTGTATTATTTCGCGAAAGTTGCGTGCTCAAGCCTCTCCTTCGCTTTTCATGGCGAAGAATTATTCTTTCGTTACCGCATTCCATATAAAATCTTTTTAATTTCAAGCAGGTTCACACGCGTGTCTCTTTTTCCTTAAAATCACTTGAAAAATCACATTCTAAAGTTATGTCATATTTTTGTAAATCATGCCGACGAATTATATCCATATTTAGATTAGCATGAGGTATACATTCTCGTACGAAAACAATTATTTTTATGAAGACAAATATTTTTAGTATAAAATAAATTTGAATAAGCCTGCCGGAGACATTGCCTTTGCAAACTGGATTTTGAATTGCGGATCTTTCGTGACGCAACGAGTCGCGCAAAATTGCTTCCTCAGGTCGTGAAACGTCGCTGAAGACCCTATAACTACGTGATAGGATTCTGCTGTAATTGTCAGGTGCCGCGAATGGCTTGTAATTATGTAGCATAATGGGAAGATGCCTCGTGAGAGCCTAGTATTATGAAATTGTTTTTTTGATGACAGCTTTTTATTCTTGCCTTATTCCTTAACTGAGACGCGGTAATGATACACATGTATGTATAATATTTCTCATTAAATAATAATTATTATGTCAATTTATTTGCTTTTGATTAGTTCCATTTAGAAAACAATTTATCAATAATATGAAATAAGCATATTTTTTACGTAATTAATACAAAATTCATATTATTGGCATGATATTATGTTGCAAATTAGAAGCAATAATACGCACATAGATTAGATACGAATATTAAATATATACTATACTATAATATACTTTGTAGTTTTTATAATTCGCCATTGTTTCAATAAAAAATCTCTTCTATAATAAAATCATGTTTTTAAACGATGAAAAGCGAATTTTTTATCAAGATAATATCCGTGATAATATCTTTGAATATCTTTGTCGATGAAAAAAACTGAAAGGATATCTTTTTTATATAAAAAGTTTTTTTCATTCTATAGAGTTATGGGAGTATCAGCATCCAACGATATCAAAATTTCAATATATCAATTTTGATAAATAGAATTACATAAAACTAATGGCAATTTTTGATCCTCTCTCTTTAAAAATTAAATAGTTCTTTTTAAATAATATATCCTCCAGGTTATAGTATTACCTTTGTCCTTAACATGTAACCCTTTCGTAATCTCTTCATGACGTCCCCATGTCACGAAGGTTCTCGTCTTCGCCGCTTTATTAGCTCGTAATTGCGTGGAGCTTGTTAATGTCATCTTATCTGCGGCGTATCACTTTACCGGTTATCTTCCCCTAAAATTATTAATTATATATTATATAAATGATCTTTTAAAAATAAATCGTATATTTTGCATAGCAATATCATTTTGTATGTGTACATATGTGTGTGTGTGTGCGTGTGTGTGTGTGTGATTGTCAATATAAATGAAAATTAATTAAATGCACGACAATAAATAACCATTGAATTCATGTTTACTTTTCTATAAAAGTCAAATCAAATAGGGCAAATATATAAAAAAAAAAAAAAAAAAAAAAAAATAGAATTGTCTTTGTTTAAGTTATATAAAATAGTCACATTCGCTAATTATCACATTATTTTACTATAATCATATTTTTTTTTTATTATAATCGCTTTCATAAGGATTGATTATTATTATCAGTACATTTAAAAAAAAATTGTGATTTTTAGATTTTATAATATTTACATAAAGTCATAAAATAGCATATATATTTAACAATATAAAACTTTGATTTATTATTTAAAAAAAAATAAGTGACCAAATGTAATATATGAGTAACTTTAAATTACCTAGCAATATTTTTACAGGATGAATAAAATATTGAAAATATCAACTATATCATTTTGCGGGAATAACAACAAGTCAGAACAATAAATTGCTGTCGTAGATGTGAGCAAAGCGCGACGTATTAAACGCTTGCATTCGGTCACCCATGGCGCGACATGTTTTTCACAGTTTCCCGGCTATTTTTCACCCGTCAATCGACCCCTGGAAATCGCAACTGTATCCGTATCGGACCGGTCAGCGTTATTTCCGCGTCGGGCCACAATGGACCACATTTCTCCAGATACCGTTCCGACATATCCGACCTCTTCCCTCTCGCCTGCGGTTCTCTCTCCATTCACCTGTTACCGGTCCTTTCTTTTTCTCTCTCCTGTCTCCGGCTACCTGACGGTAAACAGGATGTATCGCTTCGAGTACCCCGGGTGCGAATCACGTGCCGTGACGCGCGTTGTTGTCCCCAGGAGACAATGAGGGGGGTCCGATATTCTCGAAACTCTTTCTAGCGGAAGCGTTTCGCTGACAACAAACACCGGGAACGTTGAAATTTAACCGTTCGACGAACAGGTACAATCAAAAAATTTTGACTATAATATTAGATAAATAAACTCACGTAATATAAGAAAATTGTTTGAATATTACTTATTTAACCACCATAATAATAATTTTTTGATAATTTAATTTACTAATACCTTTTTCGTGATAAATAATTATTCTTGGCATATAAATACAAGAATCATAATATACGATTCGCACTTCTCTGAGAGCTTTATGCTTGTTCGCGAATGGTACAATTCCAGATATTTTCATGATAATACTATCGATCTCGTGTGACGCGCGTTTGAAAAAATCAAAGAGGCGATCCATTAACGTTTCCGATGCCATGAAAAGTTACGATGCTGTTAGGTCGTGGGATAATACGAGATTTCCCGAGAATTTTCGTATAATAAGAATGGCGACGCGGAGAGAGCACTGAGGCGTTGCGATAAATCTCGCGCTGAAGACAAGAATGAGGAGGAAATGATAACGGACGCGGACCGCATGGATATCTCGCGGTATTATTCCTCTCTGATAAATTTATTCGAATTTAACTTTTTGTGAATTTTGAAGGAAGAGAAATCCACGGAAGATGAACGGATTCGGTATAAAGGAAGTCGTGCCAAATAGGAAAGAAATATTTAGACGCTTTATCGAAAGTTTGATTTACACACTGAAAAAAAAAATTATTAACTTGGCTAAATTCGTTCAACTAATCACCATTTTTTAAATTGAAATATTTAAGTATTTAAGTCAAATATACGTCATGTTAGATTTAATATGTCGTATTTGACTTAAATATATAAATATTTCAATTAAAATTTAGACAAAAAATGTCTAAATTTTTAAAAAATTTTTTGCAGCGTATATACGCGCGTTACGCTTAAATGGGAGTTTTTAAATTTCTTCTTTGATTTTATTTTGCACATATAGTGTTGATGAGTAAACAGTATCCTAATAACCATGTTTGACGCGGGATTTTAAAACAGGCATGACATAATACTTCCATGTCGTTGTCACGTTTTCGATGTAAGGAATTCTTTTTACCTCGACTTGTAATGTAATTGAAAGTTTCATCAACCGGAGGTGAGCAAGCTCCCCAGCTTATCCATTCGACCGGATGGACCACGATTACATTCACTGCATGGCAACCGCGGGTGAATCAAATATCACTTCGCGACAAGAAGACAATACCTTTTATTCCCTTTCGCTCCTTGTTCTTTGGTACATCCTGTTGAGAAGTTTCCTTCGGCTAATGAAATTTCTCCCGGGAGGAAGGATGCGCTCCCTTCAGTCGAGCGATAAACGCTTTTCGACATTACTCGGAGTCAATCAGATTGCAGTTCTCCTCCAAGAGAGAGGGAATGCAGTTCGGATATTGAATGAAAGAGTTTTGAAACAAGTAGGAAGAGGAAATGGAAGCATTGCTTAGAGGAACGGGACAAAGGATTCGATGGTTTGAAAATGCGAATAACAGCGATGCCATTGTTCCTATTACAAGTATGCAAAGCTTGTCTGTATAGAACACCTGAAACTATTTATCATTAAAGTGAAGTCCAAAAATTCTAATATATTTCTAAGAGATTCGGTTATTTTATATTTTCTACGTTTGCACCAAGGAATGGTAAAATTATTATATCACATGAATTTAATTTACAGCAATAAAAATGAAAAATTATTGGAGCCACGAATTTATGGAGTTTATAATTCTCTGGTAAAATTACATGCGTTAGTCTCCGACAAAAACAAACGAGATTTTCCGGCTGAAAGGGAAGCCGTTTATCGAACCGGACGCGAAACGTTTTTATTTTCACTTCGCTTCGTAGTCCAGCGAGATTTCATACTCTCGGTCATGTATGTATGTACGTACTTGCATGCGAGAGGCGATATCGGTCGAGCAACTTTGCAGGAAGTTGGAAGGAAAGGCAAAAAAAAAAAGAGAGGAGTTGGCAACCGACAAGAAAGAAAGAGGAAGGGGATTATTGGAATATTGGAAAGCGGGACGCGAGCTCTTCTCCTCGCATCGAGATTGTACAGTCGGGAGATTCGGGAAGCGGAAGAATCGCGAGAGAGGAAGGACAGTGATGTAGGAAGAGAAGTCCCCTTTCGACATCACAGAGCGCGAAACGAGAGAGAGTGCAACGTTTATCGCGCGAGTGCATTCCACCCAGCGCGGTGCAGCCTTGCAAGGCTGCTTCGTAATCCAAAGCGAGGAATGCAGGAATCCGAGTAAAGTATGCGATGTCTTACGGTAGGAAAAGGGTAAAAATTATGATTATATACTCTCTATTGCTCTCTCTCTCTCTCTCTCTTTCTTTCTCACGACCGATGCATTTGCGTGAGACTCAACGCAAGCTACTGCAAGAAAGCGCAGGAATTATCTCCGATCGCGGGCATTTAATAGTCCAATGCGTAATTTAACAATTGCTCGAATATTTGTCGCTGAATTAATATTCGCATAATGCGTACAAATTTTACGGATAATACGCGGACGATTTCGAGAGATGAAAAATATGGCGTGCTTTTGAAGATGAAGTGATATTTAATTTTCCGCGAAAATTTTTATAATATAAATTTGATGTTTTGGAACAATTTAGAACAAGTGTAGAACAACCTGGAACAACCTTTAGAATTTTAAAATTTCAGAAATGGGGTGCTAACTTCACGCAGGTTATAGTTACGCACGAATAAGGGAGATCTGTCTGTTTTGTATATAGAGATGCAAGAGAAAAATGTTTTTGCACAATTTTTTTAGATTTATAGAGTTTTTTATCCGTCGCAGATGTATAAATATTTGCATATTTATTATATATTATTTTTAACTTGATATTTTTATGAGTGTAAAAAAAAACGTGAAATTAAATAAGATATCTGTTTTTATTATGTTTTAATCAAAATATGTGTGTGTGTGTGTAATCGTTACTTTTACTTAACAAAATTATATGCGTTTCTTTGCAGCTCACGTGGACAATGAGGTGTACTTAGGAAGGGCGTTAGAGAGACTCTCAAATTCGCGGTGGTCACGAAGGAACTAAGCGCCCTCATGAAAACTCTGGTACGTATCTCACCAGCGAAATTTATGTTAACACGTTACATACGCGAGTCACGGAATATTCCGTGTTTTTAGTGCTGATGATCCTCCGCGACCCACAGAATATTTCGCTTTTATTCCCTTTTAGCTATGTATTTCCCGATGACAATAAATGTATACCGGATTAATTACTCAAAAAATTCAAAATAGCAAGTTCCACTAAGGAAAAGACGTCGAAGGGATAATATAATTAAAAGAATGCGTAATTAGCGTAATTAAACGTATCAAAAAATTTTTAAAAGACGTGCAACTTTCGAAGACGAATCCTGGAAAATCGCAAAGCATGCATTGTTGACGATTTCATCCAAGCGTTCCGATGTAATCTTAAATTTTACTATTCATCAGGCGGAGATATTAATATGCCGTAAATACACCCTCGATTCGTTGCAGTGCACGCGCGTTATTGGAAAAATCTCTTCACGGTCCATTGTCGACCGATGGCAACGACCCTAGCCCAGCGTAGTATGTTCTTCGTACGTACATACGTTGGTGTAGGTGCAAAAATAGAATTTCTAAACCGGCGATCAATATGAAAAGCGTGCGCCGGTCGTGCGCTGACGTGCGCGACGAAATAAAATTTCGCGCCCGCGGAGAGATCGCATCGTCGCACGAGAAATTCTCAACTTTCGCGATTAACGATCGATTGTATATTTCTCGAGAAAGAACCTCGGATTTGCGACCGCGTTTCCTCGCCAGAGACGTATGACATTCACGGCACGCGTTTTGTCGTAGAGCAAATTATTCTGCTAAAACAATTTTCCATTCCTGGGGATTATACCTTTGAACGCTTTCCCTCCCTCCTGCCCCTGCGATTGTATAGCATGGACGTATACGAGTATCTGGGTCGCAATGAATGATGAATACAGGATGAATGTAAATTTGTACGACGGTAAACTCTCGACTCTCTATGCTTAATCTTCTCTACGTCCAACATTCAACTAACTCCTGTCGAACATTCGAGACTTTTCGTCTCCAGATTCCCGACTTGTCAGCTTGATGTGCTAGTTTATGACTTGCATAGTAGTCGTACTAATAAAATAAATTATTGTTATTACATATATCATGCACAATGAAACATCGACGATCACATTGTCCACGTGGAATGAAATATTTATAGCTTTTTTACATACCACACTAAAAATAAATTTATTTTTAATCAAATAAATACATTTTGTTGATTTTGATTTTTTCACTTAAATAAATATAAATGAAAATATAAATACTTTGTTTCCAGAAAAAAGGTTTTGTATAATAAATTATTAGTTGCATATAATAAAAATTATAATTTTTAAAATACATTTAAAATTTTAATATAAAAAAATATTTATGTTTGAAAATAAAACATTATTTATTGAAATAAAAAAAACTCTGTTTTTAAAACAAACAGCCAAAAATTGAAAAAATGTTTTTTTAAAGAAAGTAATTTAGTATAATAAAAATTAAACAAAAAAAACAATTCTTTTCTTATTTGCAAATAAAAGCATACTTTGCTTTTATTTTATATTTTACTAATTCAAATATATTTGCTGCTTGATTAAAATAACTATTCCTAAACTAATTTTTTTCCAAGTATTTTTAAACAAATAATTTTTTTTTAACAAAAAATTTTTTTTGGTGGTTTAGTACATTTGTTTTCGGTAGTAAGTACTCCCTTTACAAGTTATGTCATTATTTTCTGAGTTTTTTTTCTTTTTTTCTAAGAAAAAATAAAACTTGCTTTGAGGAAAGGAAACACTTTTTTTGCTCGCAAGATACATTCAATCCATTATATCACTCTATGACAAATACTAAAAATCTCTTCGGCATGCTCGTATATTTTCACTTTTGTGGCATTTAGTTAAACCCAGTATACGCTGACACGATTGTGCTTAGCGAGGAGAACCCTTCGTGCGCTCGCTCGTAATTTCCTGCCGCGGTAGCTCCTCTCTTATTCTTCAGGCTCCGCCTGAGGCTACTCGTCGTTTCGTTGAATTAAGAAACTCGATTCGACGACGACCGTATTATACAGCGAGTCCACGTTAACAGAATGTCTCGCGTAAAAAGGTCCGGAAGTATATTAAAGACGGAAGAAACGCTTCCACGTAAAGAGAAGTATAAAACCGAGAACGAAACACGTACCTTCTAACACACATATCTCTTGTTTCTAATTATATTTAATTAAATTATATTTAATTTATACAAAAAGAGAGAGAAATCAGTTGGTACGTACAAAATATATTTCGCATATCAGTATCATTAAAAAAATACGTTGATAATTTTCTAATTATATACTCGCATAATATTTTATTTTATCGATAAAGAAGTATTTGGATAAAACATCTTATTTTCAATGCCAATGAATTAGCTAAAAATAAGAGAGACCGAGAAAGTAATTCTCTCCGGGCATGGATTTCAAAGCCGGAGGATGCAGATTTAAACTGGTTCTGCGTATGTTCCGACGATTTCCTAAGCTCGCGCTATGCGGTTAGCCTATGCAGCGTAAATCGGGACGTCTCACGCAGCAGTGGGATAATTACATTTACTGAAGCGTACACGCGGATACTTATAAGCCATGAGAATAAGAGAGAGAGAGAGAGAGAGAGAGAGAGAAAGAAAGCAAATAGTAAGACTCTCCTAGATTCTATCACGCACAAGCGACCGTGAATTTATATTTATCGGGGCTTTAAACGTGCCACTCGCCTCGGTTGCGATTTCAGCGATGGTTCTCTCCGCGTTCTCGACATATCGGGGCCGATCGCGGATTGAATCTAAACTCTGCCGTTTAAATGCGATTTTTATTTCTTTTTAACCACCGATCGCCTATAGTTCCGAACCATTGCGTTTGACTATCTATGGGCACCACGATGATGTCACACGTGCAATTGGTCAAAATTTATTTGCGTCCGATGTTGGCTTTGATTTAACTCGCATGTTGCATCCAACGAGAGCAGGAAGTAATATCCAACGCTTGAATACCGCAAACCTTTTCGATCAAATTGAACTCGGATTATCGTATATCATTTCTGATCGATATGATTAACCGTAATTGGGATCGGACGAATAGTCTCTTCTGACCGTTTACATTTTAAGAAATATTGAATCTATATTTATTGTTTTAATATCGAAAACATTGCCTCATCAATAAATATTTTTAATCGCTCGCAATATTCGATGAAAGAAGTCGGGAATGTAATTTGCAAATTAATTATTGCGATGAATATTTGCAAAAATATATAAAAATTGTTATATATTATAATTACCTCGATAATTTCCTTTTTTTCCTAATCAGTAAAAGGAAAGCAATGTTAATTAACAGCGAACAATTATACAATTAATAATATTAAAATTGATCATTATTACCTTTTAGAAGACCTCTGATAATCTTCACAATATCTGTAAAAAAATTAAATATTTTTTAGTCATATAGAAAACAATTAAAATTAATTAGATGAAACTTTGTTTATTATTTCCCGGGACTCGCGATTTAATAAGTAATAATAATAAAGAAAATACAGTTTATTATTTTCACTTACGATTTCTGTCACTTTCTTTGCGGAGATGAGTCGGTTGCATGTTGCTTTCGCAGTCCCATTATACGGCGCGTTTGAGCGCTTTCCAGCCGAGTTTTCACAAGAGCCGCGAGTCGTGAAGCGGTCGAGGGATCGCCCTAGAGAGGGAGAGAGAAAGAAAGAGAAGGAGCAGGTTCCGAGAGGAAGCTGCATTCTATTCAGGGCGAGCGAGACGATGGGCTAAGCAAAGTGCTGACGCGAATCGACGATGATTCACTATTTACCGGCCGGCTAGAGTCAGGCGGTGGTTGCTCGCGATTCCCGTTCCGGAGTCCTGAAACCTCGCATTTTTCATTGCCGTTTTCCATTCGAGTCCTGTCAGACCAGTTATTTCGATAAATAGATAAAATATTATATTTCACTTAATCTGAAATAATTCCTGCTCTTCTCGCGGCAAAGAGATAAGGAGAACTAATATTTAGATACCGATGCGGTACCGGTCTTTTTATCGAGATGTTAATCGCGTTGGATCGTATCATATAATAATTCATATGTGAAATGATCATACATGAATGATGATTCCTATGAATGCTACAGCGCAGTATAAAACTTGAATATATTTTATTTTTAATTATAAATTTAAATTTATATTATACATATTTATATATAATTCATAAAAATAAAATATATTCAAGAGTTTTATGCTGCCCTCTCTTCAAACTATTTAAAAATATTTGATACTACAAGAACATTTTAATTAATAAATACATTAATAATCAGATTAATAAAAAAAATTTATATTTAATAGGGACAGAGATAGGATTATATTTAATAGGGAGATATCTTCTCTTCTTTCTCTCTCTGTTTCGCTCTTAGGTTTTTATGACTAGATTTTTCTGTGTCTCTTAGATCTATGTCAGTCATGGTATTTTATTTAATTAATAATAAAGAATAAAATCTATATCGTGTGTGTCCATGGTGTGAATATTCATCAACCATCGATCCTGTGATTTCAGATGCAAAATATCAACAACATCGTCATGTTTCCGCTGGATTCGGTGCTGAAAGGTGACTTAAGGGGCGTGAAGGGAGACCTGAAGAGGCCTTTTGAGAAGGCTTGGAAGGACTACGAGGCCAAGTACGCGAAAATCGAGAAAGAGAAGAAGCAGCACGCGAAAGAGGCCGGTCTGATTCGTACGGAGGTCACACCCGCCGAGATCGCCGACGAAATGGAGAAGGAGAGACGATTGTTTCAGTTGCAAATGTGCGAGGTAAATGATGCCGAGAAAGATCCGAACATAAAGTATAAACGATCGCATCCCAGCGATACGTACACATGTACTGTAGTTCATTCCATAGGTTTTCGGATAACCGTCAATAGCCGAAAAAACACTTTTCGGTACATTTGAAATTGGTTATAAACTGGTTTATTTCAAAACCTATGGAGCGAACTACAATCACTTTGATCTCATTTGAAAGATAATTTAATACCGAACAAAAAGTTTCCTATAAACATGGGTCGAAAAATGCTTCCTTAAAAAGTTAGCGCCCAAAAACCTCTGAAATCACGGTTATTTTTTACATTTTTACAAATATCAGGGAAAGTATGCGTCTTTTAACAAAAAGTACCGAAACAAAAGTTGTAGAGAATTAAATTATCTTTCAAATGAGATCAAATTTATTATAGTTCGTTCCATAGGTTTTCGAATAACCGTCTATAACAGAAAAAACACTTTTTGGTATATTTGAAATTGGTTATAAACTGGTTTATTTCAAAACCTATGAAGCGAACTACAATCACTTTGATCTCATTTGAAAGATAATTTAATACCGAACAAAAAGTTTCCTATAAACATGGGTCGAAAAATGCTTCCTTAAAAAGTTAGCGCCCAAAAACCTCTGAAATCACGGTTATTTTTTACATTTTTACAAATATCAGGGAAAGTATGCGTCTTTTAACAAAAAGTACCGAAACAAAAGTTGTAGAGAATTAAATTATCTTTCAACGCGCGTGCATCGGAATCCGGTTGTTTAGATACTGTCGTGTGTCCGGGCTGAAAAATGTATATTTACATTCTGGAGTCTACGCAGTTTTACATTTTGTATTCGATAGTATATTTAAGATGTCAAACAACTGTCATTTACATTTTCTCTAGAAATCATTGAAAAATAATACAGCGTAAATATTAAAATTAATGCCAAAAAACGAAAAAAAACTTTCCCATTAACCTAATATACCTATATATAAAAAAGTAAATTTATTTAAATTTATTCTCTGTATCTCCCCCCCCCCTCTCTCTCTCTCTTCAAAATGTTGAAATATTAATAGAACTACTCCGAGTTATAGAAGACTGAAAATAATAAGTTTTTAAAGAAAACTATATAAATACTTAATTAAAACAGTTACTTACATAAAAGGTATTGTAATTTGAAACCTCGTTAGAATATTCAATGCTGAAATTTATTCTTCGTAAAAATGGATGAACCTCAATCAATCTATCCTTACGAAGATCGCTAGATTAAAGAAGTGGTAAGAGATAGCTTGCAGATTGCTTTTACGATACGCTCGATAAAAGCGTATTCGAGGAAGGCACGAGCGAGGATAGAATCGTCGAACTATGTCGATCATTGCTTTCTGTTTGCTTGCAGTATTTGATCAAAGTGAATGAGATCAAAACGAAGAAGGGCATCGAGCTATTGCAGCATCTAGTCGAATATTATCACGCGCAAACAAAGTGAGTGTAACGCAGTTAATCCTCTTATCGGATGTATTAATCATATTGCGATTTCGTTGTAACATTGAATTGATTCTGAGTTATTATCAGAAGAAACATTTATCTTTCACGAAATCTTAATTTTTAAAATATAAAACATTTTGAAGAATGATCGGAGCGGCCGATTCAATTTTCTGACGAGATTTACGTTCGGGATTTTAGTTACTTTCAGGATGGTTTGAAGACCATTGAACACTTTGGCTCGTACGTAGCCGACCTCAGCGTGAAGCTACAAAAAATCAGACAGACGCAGGATGAAGAAAGGAGACGACTAACGGAACTCAGAAGTCTTCTTAGGAGTTCTGGATGTGACAAGGAGGTAACATCGGCGAGAGCCAAGTCTCTTCCTAACATCAATTCGTCACGGAAAGCGCGCGATTGTAGTAGATTTAATGGCCTTTAATTGGTACCGTTATTTCTTCACTTTCATTTCATCGACACAGTACACGATAACGTTCCTCTTCAGGCATCATCTTATTTATCGGGTGTTTTAACCTATTTAATATAAAATTAAATATTAAAACTTTGTTAATATTTTTTACTAAGAGATTCTATCATCTCTTATATTTCAAAATTTTGTGACTTACTTATTTATTTCACATGTCAAATCACTGTCAGGTTGTACGTCATACGTAGATCTTAGGCAACGTTTACGATGCATTTCACAGTTGAACGCGAACGCGAACGCTGGTTACTCGCTGCACCAGCTGCAAGGTGACAAGCAACACGGCGTCACGCGTTCCGGCCACCTGCTGAAGAAGAGCGAGGGCAAGATGAGGCGAGTCTGGCAGAAGAGGCGGTGTGCCGTGCAGGCGGAGGGCTACCTCGATATCTGCCACGCGGACGAGAACAAACCGCCCACCAGGGTGAATCTATTGACCTGCCAGATCAAATTGGTGCCGGACGACAAACGGGGCTTCGATCTCATCAGTTGTAAGTGTCACGCTTGATGCCCGAGCAACTCCGTTCTCGTCGTTTCCTCACAATACGACGAACGCCGCGTAATACTGTCATTGTCTCGATTTCAGACAATAGGACGTACCACTTTCAAGCGGAGGACGAAGCGGACCAACGCGCATGGATGTCGGTCCTAGTGAATTGCAAGGAGCGTGCCCTGCTGCGGGCGTTCGACGCGAGCGGCAAGGCGGAGGCCGGTAGTGGCAATCCTAGCCTCGTAGAGCTGCAGCAGGCCGTCATACGATGCGTTATGCGATTACCCGGAAACGATCAGTGCTGCGATTGCTCCTCGCAGAACGGTAACTTTGAATGTCGTAGATTGTTAGCGGCTGGCCTTTCTCTAACGCGTGCCAAGTCTATTCCGTTATACTTGGCGCGTGTCTAAAGCGCCTCTTTCCATCAAATTGACGTATTAGGAAACTGGGAACTGATTTATAATTATTTCTCCGATCAAATCGCACTTCTACGATGAATGGAATCTTTTAATAGAAAATTTTTAAGTAGTTGTCTTCAATTTCAAAGTATATGTATGATATCTCCATCTTAGGATTATACTCGTATAGAATTAAGGCTTTTGCATCGCCGAAAGAACGTTTATGTCATCGGATGGCATGAATGTTCTCCGGTTCGCTGACCGTAGGGGCATTGTCATGGATGTTCCCGCATAACAAAGCGGCAACTTTGCTAGCGCTCCAGTTCTCGCACGTTTTGTTGTTGAATGACAATTGTCTCCTTTTCAGACGCCACGTGGCTGTCGACGAACTTCGGCATAATAGTGTGCATAGAGTGCAGCGGCATCCACCGAGACTTGGGCGTGCACATATCGCGAATACAATCCTTGACGTTGGATAACGTCGGCACCGCTCAACTATTACTCGCTCGACACATGACCAATCAGGCATTCAACGAGGTGATGGAGGCGACTTTACGTCACAATCTCAAGCCGTCGCCGACATCGTCGATGTGAGCAAACTTACAATGTTTTAACGACGCGTAATCGTATCAATTAATCGTACTCAACGTTTTTCACATTATCGCTTTACTCGGTATTTTCATATTTACTTTTTTGCTGCTTTAGGGAAGAACGATACGAGTTTATACGCGCCAAATACGTGGACAAGAGATATGTGATGAGCACATGCGCGGATGAGCGCGATCTACTTTCCGATTTGGAGCATGCTGTTAATAACCGTGACTTACAACAACTTCTGCAAGTCTACGCCGAAAACGTGGATCTGGCTGCACCGTTGCCAACATCGGTGAGGGCATTATCGACATTTTTTATAGAGCTATATTCGAGGAAATGATTAAGAGAAATGCTTTTCACGGTTTCAGAAATAAATAATATAAAATGTATTCTAATCTCGATAATTTCTTTTTAAATTTAGAAAATAATCTATCTGATCATATAAAAAGAAAAAATTAAAATTATCTTGTTTTACGCAAAGTTCTATAAAGATTTATATCTATTTCGATTAGGACGTAGGTGAAACGGCGTTACACTTGGCCATTCTGCGCGAGATGGGCAGCAGTCTGCACATCGTGGACTTTCTAGTGCAAAACATGCCTAGCGGTGGCATCGATAGGGCAACTATCGACGGCGAAACGGCATTGCATCTTTCCGCGCGACACGACAGAGCGGAAGCAATGAAACTGCTTCTGCGAGCTGGCGCGGATCCCTCGCATCGGAATAAACAGGACAAGACTCCGCTGGACATTGCGCAGGAAATGGGACATCATACCTGCAAAGAATTGGTATATATAAATTAGCGAAATAAATACTTTTCAGTTTACTTTTACTTAACTTTATATGTATTTAAACTTTATATGTAGTTCTTTCAAATTTGATGTAAATTTCATTAATCATAATACGCTTTAAACAATTGCTGATGATTCCTTCGAAGAATCGAAAAATAAGAAATCAACGAATTACTTTCAGCTCAGTCACGCTCTCCAGAGGCAGAAGACATTATTTGACAACGTAAACATTGATTGGAATCTTTCTCACGATGAGGGTTCCACAGACTTTTCCGATGACGAAACGATAATAGAGGATAGGGTGAGTGCATCAACCTAAAACAGAATAAATCGACACACATTCTACGATTCGTATTTATCTGACTATATATATTCACAATCGCAAATGTTCCTCTTGCAGAACGGATGCCTGACGCCTGAAAAGAAATCACGTAGCAGACCACCATCATACGCCGGAGGCGGTGGTACTGGATCGGGTGATTCCCCGGTAACATTGCGCAGTCGGAGCAGCACCTGCGATAGTTTACAAAGTGGATCCTCTCCGAGTGCCTCGACGAATCGCCAACAAATGCCCCCGCCGCCGCCGCCACAAGCGAGGAAGCCTGTTGCTGGTAAATTAGATGTACTCTTAAGCTTAATATTTCATATATTACTCAATAAATCTGTGTCGAACGCACTATAATTTAGAATAATTACCAAATAAAACTGCCATTGCGTTCAGCAAAGATAATAATCGACTACGCTCAGTAGCAATTGAATGTTGTTTCTACTTACATTTAAATGCAAATTTTTTGACACATTGAATACGTGTATATATTATTCATTACTGTATTAGTATTTTATATTAACAAAACAACTAGGAACATTGTTTTCTTTGCTGAACGTGCTTATAGTAATTATAATAATAATTGTATAATCAACTTTATATTTTTTTGTATATTTCTAATATTTTGATTATACTAATATTTTCGGGCAGTTCCCACTCCCATGGCGCCGGACATTTCACTGAACATCCATGGCTCGCTGAAGAAGCGGGTAGCGCCACCACCACCACCAACCACTGGAAATGCTGCTACCGCGAGTGGCGTTGTACTACCGTCATCGCACTATGGTACGCTACCAACATTGGCTACGTCGACGCACAGTCGTACGACCAGCGAGCCGATTTTAGCTGGCCACACTTTACACACTCTACCGCATACGTTGAATACACTAAATAGCCAACATCATAAGAGATCACCGAGTGGCGACTCGTCGATCGGACACGGTACATTCGATAGATAAATCTCGCAGGCGAAACTTGCCGATATTCTAATTACCATATTGATATTTATATCTCTTTCTGCGAATAGGTATGGACAAGATAAACAGCTCAACGCTGCAGAGACCGCGAAATCCACCGCCTCCGGCGCCGTCCGGCATCACGTCCAGACTCAGCAACGGACGAAGCAGTGAGTCCCTGAGCTCCATGTGCTCGGATCACGGTCTGGGCAATCCCATTCCGCCACCGCGAAAGGTAAATCGTACTTAAATTGTCTCAATAGAAGTTTCGCGATTTTGAAAAAATTGGGGGAAATATTGTTTTTTATGTACGGGATAAGTACTTTTTTTCTTGCTAAACATAAGATTGCGGTTTTTTTTCTGAATTCATGATACGTGTATCTTAGTTAATTGACGATTCGAAAACTAATGAAATAGAGAATAGAAATTTATTTAGGATTCTAACAAGATTTATCTACATTGTCCTAGAGGAGATTCGAGTGAAGCGAGTGCTTTGTATATTGATCTCCGAGACTGCAGCTGTAAATATATGTAGCTGCTTCAACAAATGGACAAGAAATGCCATTAATAATTCAATACATCTCGATGAAAAAGTTACGAGTTTCCTTAGCGAGTAAATTCAAACAAACGCAAGATATTGGTAGATACCATCTTATAAAAAGATATGATCTTAAATATAATATAACATCTATATAATGTAACATCTTGACCAAAATTCTCGAAAACATAGGATTTTGTTATACAAGATTCATAAAAATATTTCTAATATGTAAAGTTCTCGCTCTCGTATGCGATTTCCCACTCCTCGAATTTATTTTCCGATGAAGCTGCCAGTGGCATAATTACATGTTAAAATTGATATTACTATATATTTCCTAACAAGTGTTTGATATCAACATTATACAACTATCGCACTGTCTCACCTTACCTGTTTGCACACATACCGGATGGTTGCCGTTTAATCGAAATTTATACTAATGCAGTAGAGAGGAAGGTATAACTAACCAGGTTGTTTTCCTCCGTAGTGTAGTTTTCACTCGTGCAGGCTTGAGTATTTCGTATATAGTAGTACTAACCATACGTCACGCACATCGACCTTTATTCGTACCTATCGTTCATATTTACAATACCATATATAATTGACCTTTGTTTATATTAATTGTGAACATGTAATAATTGAAAAACTTATTTAACGTGTAATAACTAGAAGAATTATCATTTTATTATTCCAATTATTTCACTCATTGCCATTTCATATCAAATCATATATAAATAATCACTGCTAATTCGTTAATATTGTATTGCGAAAAATAATGTCCCAAAGATAAAGCACTAATATCTTTAACGATGGATTAATTTTTACGACAAGTGTTACGTATCAAAATAAAGTTCGAGTTTTAAAAGCATTTCGTGAAATATTTCTCGAGATAAAGCAATAAGCAAAGAGGAATTCGCATAATATTGAGCAATTTATTGCGAATTAAATAATTCGCTGCGATACAATTCGAGTTGAATATATGGTCAAATGTAAAATATCTATCTATCTATCTACGGTGTGTGGATATCAGAATGCATGAATTTCAAGATCAGTGTGCTTTATGGTTTGTCATTAACCATTGTTGGTACAGCGAAGGGACCGGTCCAGGCTAGAGAGCTACGCCGAAGAGCCTTCATCTTTGCTCCTAAATCTGAATCTGGTAAACATCAGTCATCCCACATTATCCAGCATGTTACACTTGAAAAATTATCTGTTTCTAGAAACGTTATCTCTAAACAAAAAATGCAATCGTATCACACGTCGCGATAATTAACGATAAAATCTCAATGATAACAGAGATTTATACTCTATCTATCAACGATACTTTCAAGTGTAGCACTGTTTTGCATGATCAGTCGTTTGTATCATCATTTGTATAATATCGAGTCTTCGGATGTGATATTTCCGTATTATAATTATTTCGACCTTGCTGCCAGTTGGAGCATACAGATGTTTCTTATCGGTTAAGATACCACTCGATTATAACACAATGATATGAATCTCTCTTTCGCAAGAACTATAAATAATTATGTGTGTATATTGATCTTCTGACCGTTGACAACGTGAAATGCGTTGCATTGTGTGCGAACTAACATCTACATTTTTCTGGACCGATTGTCAATCCTATCCAATTCGTTAATCTACGTGTGACTTTTTTAATACAACTTATATTCTTTTTATGACTCTTGTGTAGCTCTAAACTACACTTTATATATCTAGGAAATTATTAAATATAAAATATAACTCTAAATACTGATTCGCATGGATTTCCCCGAATGGATTTATGTTTGGCAATACTTGAATGCATCTGTTATACTACTTCTTCCGACTCGTGATTATATCCCCTTTAAAACTCTCTTACTCTAATAAGCTACTCGAATATTAAAAATCGTATAACTAGCATGATCTCGATGTTTCATATTGGAAATTCTAGAGTTTTTATATACATACATAAAACCACGTATATATTAAAAATATCAGAAATGCATATCAAAATTATTAAAAATTTTTCGTATTTAAATTAGAGAATAAAATTTGTATATTTATACAATTACTTATTACAGTCTGCTACATAATATAAATTAATTTCGCGCGACTAATTTATTACTTCTTTTAATTCTAGAAAAAAAGTAAATAATTAGAGTTAATTTTATGAATAAATTTTATTAACAAATTAATGGATTAACCGATGCCGATGAAAGTAACTTTACGGCGTTTTGTGAATTTACAATAATTTTCCTAGAATTTCCAATGTTTTCTGAAGAACAAGTATTCTTGCGCGCTTATCGTCCCATGACAAAGATACAAGCAACAAAAGTGCTTGCTTCTGCGAGATAACTAAAACGCGCACGTTTATTACGATACTTGCCCGATTCTCATTCTACGAATGGCTTTTTCATCCCACATAGCCAACGTCGTCGACCTTGACGGGTCTTCGACGCTGTCGAGCTCTGTACGACTGCGTGGCCGACAACGAGGACGAGTTGTCATTTCGCGAGGGCGAGGTCATCATCGTGACGAACGAGCAGACCGACGATGACAATTGGATGGAAGGCGCGCTGGAACGAGCGCCAGAACGACGGGGCATGTTTCCGATCAGCTTCGTGCACATGCTGCAGGATTAACATTCGGTAAGCCTCAACTCGTTAACGAGCGTCACGAGCACTGCCAGTTCGATGAGTGTCGCCAGTCTCGGCCGAAGAAGCTGGCTAAGGAAGCCAAGGGAATGAACCAACATGACACGCATTCAAGCTATCTTCCGTTGTCTCTTCAGAGCTCGAAGATTATCATAAGCGTTCAATGAAACGAACGTTAGAGACGTTAACGAGCGCCGTTACTAAATAAAGAGTTTAGTCTGCATTTGACTCTCTTATTCCCGTCGAGTCTCGTAAAAAAACTGATATTCTTAAAAAGAAAGAGTGCATCAGTTGCGAGTAAAAAGGTGCAATTTTACACCAGATATAATAAATACTTAAGAAAATTGAACAAAATAGTGATATAAATCTATTATTTTGTTTTTAAACATACGAAACAAGCTTATGATCCTAGTTCATTCTTATTTTTTATTGCTCTACAAAGAGAAAGTGATTCAATAGCATAAAAAAATAATAAAATTTTATATTATTTTAAAATGCATTTATAATTAAAAAGCAAAATTAATATACATTAAAATTCTATTTTTACTAATTAATTGATATTACTGTTATATATATTTGGCATAATTATTTGCTAATTCAAGTTTCATTATCCAGAAAGATTACATACCTTATTGACGATTTCTTGAACTCTAAAGAGTTCTAAGATTTTTCTTTACTATGGCATAAAGTTATTTCTGTTCGTACAACGGTACTTCTCAGCTTACAGTACTTTACGAACGATTCTTTCAAATCGATCAAATATTTTATAGCAAATCAATTTTTATTTTTGTCATGTATGATACATGATCAACATATACTATGTGATCCTGTGTTTTGTTCAAAGGAAATTAAAAATAAATATTAATTTACTTTTTCGGTTCAAGTAAAGTTAATAGACACCTCGAAGATTTTACACTGACAATGAGCCATAATCAATACGTACATCGTGAATTGCACTAACTATGTGACTGCAAAAAAAAAATAATGTTGTGTCGGCTATTAGTGTCTTACGCTGGATGACAATCATATGGAGAGATCTTTGAAGGCACGTGAATATTACAGTCGATAATGGATAATCGGGAATATCTTCTTGTCATCCAGACAGATATGATTACGCAGCGAGGTTTATCTTTCCTCGAAGTGTAATTTCTTCTCTCGTTCTCTTTGAAACATAAGATTTAAAAAAAAAAAAGCTAATTGTACAAACGCCGCAATGTCGACATTCGCTGGTTTCCGGTGTTTGTCGAAGAATGTTGTATCTGAAGAGTTTATACGTAAAGATCATATATGTAATCGTCTATTCATATTATATATACTTTTACGATATCCAAGATATAATCTATAGTTAGAAATCCGGCTAACAAAGTATGACGTTCGAGGTGATACAAGAACATGTCGCGTATTGCAGCGGCCGATGTTAAAATCAAGAAATTAAAGATTAATCTTGATCGTAAAACTGCGCGACGCTAATGTGATATATAATATTTCAGAGAATTGTTAACGCATGCATTGAAACGAACAAATCGTGCGTCGAATGACATTTTCCATAAATAAAATAATATAGATTTTGTTCAATTCATTCAACGTATGTACAAGACGCTTCTAAAAAAAGAGAGAGAGAAAGAGAGCACAAACAAGCATCTATCGATAGAGAAAAACTTTAATAATAAATATATAATAATAAATAATTATATGTAGAAAACACTCTCTCTCTCTAAAAAAATATATAAAGACTCGAATCTGCAGGTTAGAGAATTAAGCTTTCACGGGAGCTTACACTTTAATGTCTGAAAAATCTTGTATAATACACTCTCGAGATACTGATTACGTTAAAGAGGAAAAGAAATATGCACAGTTCACACGGTTTCGGTGTCTCAACGTTCGTGCGTTCTATTGATCTGGCAAACACTTCTTTTTTTTCATACTGCCAATAATGGATCGACTTAACGTAAGGATAAATGAAACTCTCGTGGTATAGAATATCGTATTTATACCCTCTACATTTAGCGCTAAATACTGATTCTTCAAGTCTGAGATGCCAATCAAATGTATGATCTTCATACGAGACAAATAAATCTCAGAATCAAACTATCAGATCTGACGTTAAATGTAAGGTACAAATATGAAATCGTAGTCTTTATAATGGCGAGGTGATTAAAATTAGCGTAAAAAAAAAGAAAAGAAGATAAGGGGGCGAATTTTACGGTCGTCAAGCACGAGATGTTATACACCGATATTGCATGAGACATAGTATTATTAGCGTACTCGATTTAAATGTCGTTATGAACGAGTGTATATTTTTTTTCTGTAATGCCATACTACATGTTAGTCGATCATCAAATAGAATAAAGTGCTCGAAACCGGTTATTAGCCGCCAAGCGTGCTACGAAAAATGACGAAAATGACGCGGACAGGCGGAAATCTTCACGTCGCGTTACGTTATTATATTCTATTTGAATGTACGAGACCAAAGAGGATATTGCAAAAAAAATATATATATATATATATTATCCATTATAATAAAAAAAATTCTAAACATAATATAAATGATATAGACAATATTACAGAATTTTCGATTCGAACTATCAAGTTGAGAATCGGCAGTTTATAACCAAAATTTTTCATGAGGATGTTCTTCGCGTTTTTCATTTTCTATTAATTACCTTTTTTTCGGTAGCATATCTATATAAACAAGTAACATAAACACCAATACACAAGATCGCGCGTTACCATATTTAGACAAAGTAAGATTGTTCTTCTGGAGTCACTTTAATAGAGAAATTTTTGTAGATATCTTAAACATAACTAGAGAATTAGAGGAACAGAAAGTATAAAATTACGGCTGGACCCAAGCAGTAACAAAAAAGGAAAAAAAAAAAAAAAAAAAAAAAAAAAAAAAAAGGAGAGAGTTTCGTCGAGAACGGAACATTTGCGGAATCGTTTTATAATGTTCTGATAAAAGTACTCGATCGTTTTTCGAACGGAACGGAGAAGACTGTAGCAAAAGCGATACTTACTACTAATAACGTGATTATTTATTACTGCTGTCGATCGATAAAATGGTTCCGCAAATAATCACGTTTCAGTAACATTAGTCTGATCGACGGGATCGGCGTGTGTTCCTCGTGTATTTATTATACGAATTGCGTATCGATGCTTGAAGGCACAGCACGAATGATTTTTTTCTTTACGATTATTATAAGGGCTTTGTACATATATAAACGAACGAAATCTAGGATAGATATCACTGTATTAACTGTGACATTAATTTCTTATGTGTAACTGATTGATTTAGATGTGTTAGGGGCGCGCAACATCCCTAACTCTTTCATTTAAAATATAACTATAAGGAATTTCTGAACAGCAAAGAATATCTCATCTTACGGTTTTATTCCGGTGAAGCCAAAAAAAGAGTATCTCTATGAATCATGTTACTTATATATGTAGATTCATGTATACACTTTTCCGAAGAGCTAAATGTTCAGGTTTTATTTTTCCGATTGCGCTTTATCATTGCCGTGATAAAAGAATTATTAACCATTTTAAAAAATATTCTCTCTCATAATTCTTCAGTAGTCTTCATAAAATACAGGAGAGAAAATGGAAAAGGCTGCAAGTGCCATTATTCAAAAGCAGCGCTTTTTCATGAAAATTTACTTTTACAGAAAAAAAATGTTCTACTTTAAAAAGAAAAAAAAAAAAAAATATATATATAATTTTCGATTCGAACTATCAAGTTGAGAATCGGCAGTTTATAACCAAAATTTTTCATGAGGATGTTCTTCGCGTTTTTCATTTTCTATTAATTACCTTTTTTTCGGTAGCATATCTATATAAACAAGTAACATAAACACCAATACACAAGATCGCGCGTTACCATATTTAGACAAAGTAAGATTGTTCTTCTGGAGTCACTTTAATAGAGAAATTTTTGTAGATATCTTAAACATAACTAGAGAATTAGAGGAACAGAAAGTATAAAATTACGGCTGGATGCAATTTCGTTTTTAAGTCAAAGCGATAAAATATATAAGCTCGTCTAACGGACGATATGTAGTATTATATTGAAGTTATATCTTATATACCTTCGATATGTAGTATCTGTAATAAAAGAAAAAACCGTTATCTCTATTTAATATTAGATTAACAGTCTTTCTCACCAAACTCCATGTTGTCTGAGAATTCATCGACTTCTTCGCAAGCGCATCAACACAATATCCATTTATCTTCGGAATAGAGTAAAACGCGTGTCGTCGATCTATGTAAATACGTGTATAGATAAAAGTAGAATTTGTGCACGTGTATGTGTGTGTATGCTTGACGACGAGAGGAAACGTAATAAATTGATGTTTATATTATACCGAACACATATATTATATTCTCACGCATTATATATATATCTCGAATTACGATCTAGACTTAAGATGTTTGTGGATACTGTCTATTTAAATAATTGTATGATTCAACTGTATGATGCGATTGAGATCCTTTGCATTTCAAACTTAAGAATAGTCGTTAAATAGATTGTAAGTATTTATTATTATTTTCTAGCCACTTTCTCTCGTATATTAAACGGGACGCGTGAATGTATAGTGAAAACGAAACAGGTTCTTCGAATATTTGATACGAACAACAGCAAGATGCGTGACTCGAGCCAATCAACGACTGCATCACCGTAATTAATTAAATTCTCTATCTCTGTCTCTCTATCTACACTACAACTAGAATTATCCGAAATGAAATGGGAAATCTCTTAATCTACGTCAGCGCTTTTTAGCTAATCAATTTTCAATCAACGAAATGAAAATTTAAAAAAAAAAAAAACTGGAACAAAGGATCAGCAAAATTTTTAGACGTTTTTGTTATCTGAGTTTCTGTATATTTATTCATCTTGTATAGCTAGAGCTATGTGATTTAGAGAGCTTGACAGAGAATCGTAAAAAAGTATTTTAGACGTTTTTGTTATCTGAGTTTCTGTATATTTATTCATCTTGTATAGCTAGAGCTATGTGATTTAGAGCTTGACAGAGAATCGTAAAAAAGTTTCACTTTATCAAAGTGTCGATGCAATCCATCCTGAAGAGAGGATAATCGTATCGATCGTAACGATACGAAAAAACGCGAGTTCGAGAACCCTTTTTTATCGGGGGATGCGGCATAAATAATTTTTCTACTCGTATCCGATATTTTAAAAACCTTGTATCGATATTGCGTGTAAGAAGATGCATATTAATATATTAAATCCCTGCGTATACGTAGCCATTCCGTTAGAGATGGTGAGCAAGGAAGGGAGAACGATGACGACGCAAGTCGACCGAACAAAATCACACGATTCTAGATATTCGGCGAACGCGTGTTGTATCTCGCCGATACAGGTCTAAATATTTATATATTATACGGAACGATAACATTGTATCGACGTTCACTATTATATTTCACCGTTAAAACTGTGCACAACGTCTTTGAATGGGGCGCGACTTCAAAAAATGTAACAAAAGGAGAAAATAAATGCTGTTTAGAGAACTACAAAATCAATCACGCTCTTTCATTTTTATAAAATTACCTTACTGAAGACACTATCATCCGGATAGATGATAAGAAATTCTAAAAATAAGAAATATTTAAAACACAATTAATGAGAAATCACATTTAATTGGACGTAATTACGCTAGAACTAATCAAACATTTGTTTTAGATATAACTGAATTGATCGAATGGTATCTTTGTATTCAGTAACAGAATATTTTCGTATTGTATATATTAAAATGTGCATTAAATGTAACCTAATGTAAAAGTGAATATCTGAAAGAAAAAAATCGTCAAATAAAAAATCGATTATTCTTAAAATATTATAACATAATTTCTCTACAATATGACATAATGAAAGATGTTTTAAATCACTTTCCACCAGTGTAGATATATGCAATTAATACACAAGTACATCAGTATTAATTGCAGTATACAATGCATGCGTATGAAAAATCTTTTATTGAAAAATGTTTTTTCACGCTACAACGTCAGTGTACCCTCGTCTATTCAACTTTTTTTTTTTTATAACAGTACAAAAATTGCATTTTTACAAGTTGCCCAGCTTACTTATATGACTAAGGTATCCCAGGGGTTAGCAATCATCTCTGACGAAGATTCGAAGGGTCTTATTACAGCTTATCTAGTATTATCCGGAGAAGCTGCGGCAAAACGTGTGAACACTAGTATTTCCCGACGAAGGGTGCGAATCCCTTCCCGCGCGTACAAAAAAAGAAAAAGCGTCTGGCGCGTCGCGCTTTCTCTTAAAGCAAATCAGTCGCTACACGTCCGGTCTTATTTTACCGCACCGAATCTAATTTACCATTTGCTATCTGGGCCGTCGTCTGGACATCTTCAGCCGGAAACTCGCATCGTCTCGTACTCGAAATCTCAATCGAGAAAAATCACTCTATGAGAATTACTACTACAATTAAGCGCGCAATTCTCTAGTGTGCAAGTATCCGGCCAAAGGATATCTCGCGAACTTTTGCCCCATATATATCTACTTTTCATCTATCCTGAACCGAGATCGACGAGCGGATAACAGAACATGGCAAACAGTGGAACATTTTATAGCCATCCAAACTTTAAGAAGGATGGCCAGAGAAACTCGATATGAATGTAACGAGTCAAACGTATAAAATGTGCACACGTGTATATGCGCAGATGCAATTACAAACTGGAAAATCGCAAGAAATTATGTATTTACAGTATACGCATTAACAGAGAATTACATATATAAATATCATATTGTAGTGTGCGAAGCGAAGTAATTTTATCAATAAATACTGATCGCGTATAAATAAAAAAATTTTTTACGGTATCGTTCACTTAGTAACCTATTTTTACGACTGTAATTTACATTTTATATTTGCCACTACTAGCATTTGTTTTATCGAGAGAAACTCTTCCTTCATGTTATTTACCCGTAACGTTCATTTTCATAACTCCTTATGATTTTCCAATTTGCGATTAAAATTAGATTTTAAATCAAAATTTGCTTATCCGTTCGTTATCGCTCGTTCACGCGCATCGCGCCTTCGAAAGCTACGAAACAATCGCCGCCGATAGTTAATTTTGAGCAAGACAGGTGTCCAGCGATCCTGACAACGATTGCGTGTGTAAGTACTAAGTATATATGTTACACTATGCCACGTAAGCTTACCACAAATAACAATGATGATAGATTAATGATCAATTGGCATAAAATTAACGTAGCGGCGGCTCCTCGGCAGATTTTTTTTTTTTTTTTTTTTTTTTTTTTTCTTTTCCTTTATTTCTATATGCATACGTTTCGCGGATAAAATCTCTTTGCATCCTCTTTATTATAAATCAGGTCCTGCCTTTATCAGTTGGAGATTAGATGATGCGCTTCGATAATAGATGAAATATAAGTAGTAATTCTACGTTGAATGAAATTCCTGATGTCGCTTAGGAGCAGTCTTTGAGCTTTTTCGCATACGTTTTCGCTCGGATCGCTTTATTTATTGCGTGTATGTAACCGTGTGAATATAAATGTATGTATATGTGTGTGAATATATGTGTTCTATCGTGTCTCTATGTGATTCCTGGCAATGTGTGTATATGTGGATTTAATGTACAATTAATTAACTATAACTGGTAGAAATTAAAAACGTATCATTTGACTAGCTTTTGATCATTTCTCTCTTGGAATTCGTAGAGTTTCGCGATACATATCATATAGATATATGTATATAAATATAACTGATCGGATATAGTTTTGGTGGTGCTGCTATTGCCGCTGATCGAGTAAAAATATATTGTGTATGTGAAACGAAATAATGATTAAGTATAGGTATTCGTCTTGTGTGTACGGTCATTACTATAAATTACAATTCTTAGCAGGATAATCCTGAATTCGAGAAATCATCGCGCGGTCTCTTACATGTATTATCCTCTAGCAGAATATAATTGTTGTTATTATAATAATCGCTATAATATATACTAATTAACTAATTTTATCTCCTTAAACTTCGATATTCTTTCGCTCGTTCTTTTTGCATCTCTTTCGCTCTTTCTTTCTTCCTTTCGCTCGCTCGCTAATTCTTAATATTTTGACAAGTTTTTCCATCTTCGCAGTCTTCCAATTATTTTATCCACGCGCGCACGAAATCCGTACGAACGGAAGGATAGTGAAGCATTCAGGATTCTAAACCGACGGATCGTGGCGCGTGAATTATTCAGTCTTTCATTTTTTTTTTCTTACCTCTCATAATAATCGATTATTATTCTCACTAGCATTACACAATTTAATAAATTTAATTTTTTCTGGTTGCACGAAAAAATATTATGCTATATTACTCGCGACGCTACTTCAACATGCTAAATAGGTTAAATACGATGTATGCTTATAATTTAAAGCCACAGATTTCGATGTCGCGCCACGGTCTATAGCGTCAGTCTGCCCCTTCCCCCTCCCCCGAATTTCACTGCTACTTTATAATATCAAATTTCTACATCTCTTATATACGTTCGCTCGTCCCCTCCACGTAAGGCCCTTAATATCCATTATTGTATATTTATTCGCATTTTCATAATAGCCTATCATTTTATAAAAACAAGAAAAAAAGAAACGGGGTGCAATCCGTCAACCGAAATAAAAAAATCACGAGATCTGTGCGCAAACTACGAAGCATACACGCCGCCATATGTGCTTTCCGGTATAGTTGAGATTAAGTTTTAAACGTATGCGCGGATTAACTTATGCGACAAAGTGTCAATTCTTTAAGCATGCTCACTTTCTAGACGGAGTATAGTAATAGTAAGAGCGATAGATAAAACGGTAGTGGTGTAAGATTGATAATAGTGATGATAGTATGTAATAGGAATAGAGTAGTAATAGTGTTGTGCTAATAATAATAGTAATAGGAGCAATAGTAGCGCTAGTATAGTGATAGTGATGTTAATATAATGATAATAATAAAAATATAATATTACCATAATAATAGTAATATAGCATTAAAAATAATTAAAATCAGTCCAATTATTAAAATGAATTATATTACGCTACTACAAAATTCTCTGGTGCTTAAAATCAGATGAATTCCATTTTGAAAAATGGATAACATGAAAAATGACATTGCAATACATTGCATGGTGATGTAATGTCATTTTTCCACTCTCCTTTTTTCTGTCTTTCTTGTATTTTAAATCGTATAAAACACGTGAAAGAAATAGGAGAGTAAAAAAATGACACTACATTACTATGCAATGTTCTGCAATATTATTTTTCATTTGAGAAAAGGAATTCGTTTGTATGTGCCAGAAGACATAGTAACATAATGTAGCTAATTTTTAATAAATTTACTAATTTTACTTCTTTTTAATTTTATATTACTATTATTATTATTATTACGTTAATGTTATATTTTTACTATAATAGTGATATTATCTTTTTACTATAGTGATAATAATGTTGAAATGTTGGTAATGATAATAGTAAAAACTTCTACTGTAGTGATAGTAAGATTATATTTATACTGTAGTGATACTGATGTTGATAATGTTAGTAATGATAATAGTAAAAATATATTATTAACGTAATAATAATAATAATAGTAATATAATATTTAAAAAAAAATAAAATGAGTCTAATTATTGAAAATGAATTACATTACGTTATTACATCTTCTGGTGCTTAAAATCAGACAAATTCCATTTCTCAAAATGAATAACATGAAAAATGATATTGCATTACATCGCATGAATATGTAATATCATTTTTTCATTTTTCTCTCTCTTTCTCATATTTTAATCATATAAAACACGAGGAGAGAAAAGAGTGAAAAAGATGACATTACATTACCATGCAATATTCTGCAATATTATTTTATGTATTATCTCATACGTATATATATATATACTTTTTCTTATATATTTATATATATGGATGCAGCAAATAGTCGAGGAAAGACTCTATCTTTCTAATAGCATTTGGCTTGCCAAATTCTGTCAATTAAATAGTACAATTGCATCGGATATAATAAAAATATGATTTACACGTGTATATGTGTGTATTGTGTATGTGTAAAAGTCATTCGATCCTCGAAGAATGACCTATCTTTATCTCTCTCTCATAATAATGTCGCACATTTCGGACATTTTTTCGATTTGGTAGGGTTATTAAAGCGTAAGTGCGTACACGCAGGTGTTTGCACACAACAAAAAATATGTCATCCCCATTGACGTATCACTTTACAACGATGACTCATGAATATGCGCGCTGTCTCGCTCGCTCGTGTATTTTGGCAAACAGAATTTTTCTCAAATAAATTTTCGAAGTCGAACATTCGAAGTTCAAATATGACTTACGTTAGATCCTAGACATTTAGGCCTCACCGAATCCGCCGATCGCTTGCTCAGTCATCCTCAAGCAAAGAGATTCCAGGCGAGAGTTGATTTCCGGCTCCGTCGTTTCATTCGCTCCATTGGTAGGATGTCCCAAAAAGCGGTCTCGCGGCGCGCTGTATGTACGTTGCAATGTTTTTTGTAATTGCTGCAAAATAAAATATTCAACGTATTAATAAAAGAAAGAAATAAATAAAATTTCGAACAACTAGATTCTACTTTACCTGCAAACTGCTGGTCTCTTGTAGGCTCGGTCTCTTCTCGATCGTATGTATCGTACGCAAGTTGTTCGTATTCAAGGTATTCATATTCTGATTCTGATTATTTTGCAAATACGGCGAAGATATACTGTTTCTATGCGGAGTAATCATAAAATGGTTGTTGTGCAAATGGGTGGTGTGAATGTGGTTCAAATTTAAACTCGGCTTTCTGTTGTGTTGTTGCGAATTGCCGTACCTCCTGTTATTGTAGCCGTAATTGTGTTGCCACCTAAAATTTTGCACATACATTTTGAAAGTTACCTCAACACATAATAGATCACTTATATTTTCTATCGAGAACGTCTCATCTTACTTTGGAGTTGGTCGCGGATTGCCGAGTCTACTGCGCCATTGTTGCACTTCATCCTCAAGCAAAGAGATTCCAGGCGAGAGTTGATTTCCGGCTCCGTCGTTTCATTCGCTCCATTGGTAGGATGTCCCAAAAAGCGGTCTCGCGGCGCGCTGTATGTACGTTGCAATGTTTTTTGTAATTGCTGCAAAATAAAATATTCAACGTATTAATAAAAGAAAGAAATAAATAAAATTTCGAACAACTAGATTCTACTTTACCTGCAAACTGCTGGTCTCTTGTAGGCTCGGTCTCTTCTCGATCGTATGTATCGTACGCAAGTTGTTCGTATTCAAGGTATTCATATTCTGATTCTGATTATTTTGCAAATACGGCGAAGATATACTGTTTCTATGCGGAGTAATCATAAAATGGTTGTTGTGCAAATGGGTGGTGTGAATGTGGTTCAAATTTAAACTCGGCTTTCTGTTGTGTTGTTGCGAATTGCCGTACCTCCTGTTATTGTAGCCGTAATTGTGTTGCCACCTAAAATTTTGCACATACATTTTGAAAGTTACCTCAACACATAATAGATCACTTATATTTTCTATCGAGAACGTCTCATCTTACTTTGGAGTTGGTCGCGGATTGCCGAGTCTACTGCGCCATTGTTGCACCTTCTCCTTTTGATTTGGAGTGAAACAATCATGCTGCAATACTTTTTCCAAGATGTTAATGCATGCGCACAAAACACTGTCTTCTACGCTGTCCAGAGCCAATCTACTGCATACTAAATAAAGAAACCGATAATGACAATATTTTTTTCAATTACCTCTCTCTGATGGAATTTTAGTAATAAAATTATAATGCAATATTTTTTTATACATACACTTTCCAAGCACTTTTGTAAACTGTGCAGGGATATCTTGAGGATCGTTTTCTTGACTCGGTTTCATAGGGGTGGCTAAGATCGTTTTGAGCTCATCCATCGTATTAATGAGTAAAGATGAACCCTGCGAGAACGAAGTATTTTGCATGCCATCGCGGGCACTAGGTTGCACCAGACCCTTTTCCAGATTCAAGAGCGTGTTATATCGTTGCTGCAGCTTAGCGATAGAGAGAGCCAGTTTGTGCCTAGCCCCCTTTGTAACTCCCTGCTCTGCCAATTGATCCTCCGTCAATTGCAGCATCTCCTCATAACTCATGGTAACAAACAAGTAACTATACTTATGGAGGCGTAAAGTTTTAAGCCATGATTGTACATCTGAAAGCAAAAAAAGTAGCTCAAAAATAAATGTATTTGTTTATAAAAGAAAATGTGATTCGTCAGAGATGGTTGAAAGAAGGATGTAATTAAAAAATTTCATGATTTTTATATATATACATATAAAGATGTAAAAAAATTATTTATATTATAAAACGAAATTATATACAAAATGAACCTTCTACCGACCTTCTTCTCTGTTATTATATAAAAGTAAAATCGTATTAAATTCACCTCTCATACCGCTTGCGAGCGAACGATTGGAAGCGTCATCCAAACGACCCTCGCTACCGCTACTCGCACAGGAACTCTGTGGGCTCAGTGGACCCAAACCGATAATATTGCCTACGTAAAGATCGTCATTTAATAAAGTGCCGATACAATGTAAATTTATATATGTATATGCATGATTATATAATTGAAAATTACTGGTGTGATCTCCGGAGACGCTAAAGCTACGCGGCTTATGCCTGGATGAATTGTTCGCATTATTAGTACGTTCGAAGATTTCGAGTTGATGTGGCGGCGGCACCGGTGGCGTCAAACTATTTGAACGACGTTGACGGGGTTGAAATTGTAGAAACGTGTGGGCCGGTTGCGTATTAAATAGATTAGCCTGATCGCTTTGCTGCTTGGAATTCCTTTGCCATGGACTCTCCCATCTTATAAAGTAGCAAAGTTTAGAGATACATTAAAGATAAGATATCACAATATTTTTAGTATCATTATTTCCACTTGACTCACCTGATTGGAGTATTTGGATAATCTTCAAGACCGGTAATAGGTGGTGTACCACTAATACGATCTTCCAAATGTCTAAGCCATTGAGTTAAAGAACGTCTGTCCTGATTAGTTATAGCTGGGTGTATTAGAGTGTAGCTCAAAAGCTGCTGTGTTTGTTCTGTAAACTGTCCTGTGCTCACACAATGACTCACTAATTCTGGTATTGCCAATAGGTAGCTTTGTTTGCACTCTATATTCCCAGGCCTTAGTAAGGGCAAATGTGTTAAGAGTTGATTAATTGCAATTTCTGTTGACTCCGACATTAATGAAGTGATATAAGCTGAAATAAAAAAAAAAAAATTGAAAAAATTTAAAGTATAAATTATTTATTTTAAAAGAATAATATTAATTAAGTTTTTCAACAATCTTGTTAAAATCGATATAGCTTGCAATCATATTATGTGTCTCGCAAAAATTTATGTTTAGAAATCGAATTCACGACGCTGACAAAAATATATACACGCGCCGAATGATGCACATATATCGCGGCGAACACACACATTAAAAGATAACAATTCCATTCACGTGACTCTACTTATTTACTCATCCGAACGGCCGTTACATTTTCCCAAAAATATTTTGCGGACAACTTTTATGGCACGTTCAACGATATCATAATATTAGCAATAATTCGGCGCCGTCAAGTAAACGAGCGATTATTACAGCGACGCGTCCCCTCGTTGCGTTGTGTTATCCGGCATGTTTGAAGTCCGGCAACATTTTTTATCCCGGGAAATCGCCGCCTCCGCAATTTGGACCATAAAATACACACACACAGACGCCTCTTTTCTAAACACGACATAACCTCAAAGCCACCTCTGTATATATACGCCGATAAGAATTCCGCTGAGGTCAAGTTTGTTTACCCCGCGCGGATGCGTGTGTATTTATAGCTTTTCCTGCTGCGATTCGTTCGGCGGTGCAATGGCATCGCGCGCGCGAGACGAAGAGCGACGTGGAGGACGGACTAGGAAGAGGAAGGGGAAGGGCGCACAAGGGGGCGCTTCGCGGGGGAGGGGAAGAGGATGCAGCCGATAAGATACATTTTTTTTTCTTTTTTTTTTCCTATAAGCGTCGGCGTCAAGACTCACGAGACCTCGGCGATACCGTCCGATCTCGTCGAAAATACGCGGACAATTCCCGGATCGGACATTGTCGCTTCGCCCTTGTCAACGTCGCGCGTCACTGCATGTATGTGTATGTATACCTTCGATGTCACGAACGGAAGGGAGAGTGGGAGTGAGAAACCGGTAGCGAAAGAGACGGAAATACGTATACACGTTGGCGGGGGCGAAGAACGAAGGGACGAAAACAAGGGAGAACGAAAAAAAAAAGAGAGAGAGAAATAGAAGGCAAAATTCGCGTTCGGAATCGCCGCGGCCCGCTGACGATCGTTCCACCGGGAAGAGTGCTCGATCGACGGACGAATCTCGGTGAAGATGAGAGATGAGGGCGGTCGTCACTTGTGCGATGTGCGAACATCGCTACAATGCCGAGATGCGAGGATGGAACAAACAAACAATACGCCGCTTCGTGTCGATGTCGCCGAGCAAGCACAATTCCCTTTCGTCTTCCTCCTCTCCCTCCTCGTCCGCGCCTTTAGCGCGATCTCGAGCGCGCTTCGTAATTATCGTGCGCTAAAGTAGACTTACGAGAGATGGTTCCCACTGGCACGCTCCTTCCTCTCCGGCGTGGCAACGACGACAACGAGGACGCACAGTTTACAGCATTTTACCCGCTGTCCGATCAGGAGAAACATCCATCCACCATGCGGCGTGGTGGGACTACGTGATCACACTGCTCCGCCGTCCGCTCGGGCTCGCTCGCGGCATCTCCGAACCCGAAGATTGGTCGTCACTTCGAGCGCGACGGCCAATCGGGGCGCGTCGGCGGGCGCGGTTCGTTTGTCTCGTGAGTGCGTCGACCGCCCGCAGCATGTAACGCGAAACGCGAGCTTGCCAAAGTTGTTTACTATCCTCCTATAATATATTCGCAATTAGATCATGTTGAATTTATCTTTAAAAAAATGTATCATGTATTTGGAGATTTTCTTTCAATTTTAAAGAATATATTATGAGAATATATGCAAGAATATAGTCTAAAAAAAGAGATAACTTCTTGAGAATAAAATTGGTATAAAAGAAAAGTAAAAGAAAAGATTAATTTATATAATTAATCAATTCATTATTTTTTATGTATGTGTCAATTTTTGTTCAATTTTTTAAATTAAAAATTAAAAGGGAACAGGGAGCATAGTATAAGATGATAAATATTTATATTTCTCGTGCAACATAATCCGATAAGGGTAGATTAAAACAGAGCTCTCTCAATAAATCTTGATAAAGTCACATGCGCGATAAGAAAATTGATAAGAGCATATAATGTGTTGAAAACATAGTAACATAGTTCAGCTGATAATTATTTGTTAATTAGAAAAATGCGACCACGTGTCGAAAGAGATAATTTGTTATTGAATAATATTTTGTTTATTTCGTATGTTTTTATCGCATGTAGTCTTTTTCTTAATTATATAACATCTTTAAAGAGATTAAGGCATAATTCTTTTTATTTTTATTCTACGCATATTATTCATTTTTCTACAATACAAAGTATAATTCTATAATACATATATATACTATCAGTTTGTATCAGTATCTCACACTTATCGTCAAATATAAACAATTCTCGCCTTCTTTATTGAACGCGACCTCTCTTTATTTGGAAAGTGTTCAAAGTTGTCAACAAATGTGACTTTCATGAATCTTGGAAAGATTTATGTGTGTGCTTTCTCAATTTGTACTTGTATCATATTTACACATTCAAAATGTGTAAAAATTTATTTTGTCATTTACCAATAAGGAAAACTAATTGTGAATATGAATAATTTAAAGCTTTAAATACTATTCATATTTACAGCTATAAATATGAGTAGAAAAAATTCATTAAAGCGACCAGCGTATAATTAATTATATGAGTTAACGTCACGATTAACGCGCAGCTTCAAACATCTCGTACATTATTGCTTCTTAAATTATATATATATAATTGAAATAATATAAATAAAGTTACATAATATATGCTGATCCATTTATATCTATATTGCACTCATCAATACATAATTATTAAATATACTCATACATAATATACATTCACATTTTTTCTTCATTCTTTCATTTTCTTGACAAACATACTTGTGTGAGTTATTAAAATTAATTTATTAATGTTGCATCTGTATAAGAAAACATCAATGATGTTTATTCTTATTACATAAATTCAGCAATTTTGAATAAAATATACAAGATGTAGACTCAATCGAAAAATAATGTAAATAAGTATAGACTCTGAAATATTTTCTTATAAAATAGGAACCATATTCACACACGAAAATGTTGAGTGACGTTTTATCACAATTAATAGTGTCATCAGTATTTCCTTACGCGTGAACAAGTTGAACACTAACCGAGAGTCTCTCTTCTAATTGACAAAATTAAAACCAAACAATTTGAAAATGGCGATAACTTATATAAGAACTATGTTGGTTATTTTTTAATATACAACCTACTCAATGTTAAATATTAAACATTCTCGTTCAGTCCATCACTCTCTGTGACAAGAGCTCGTTCCAGTATAACACGACCTTCTTTATATCGTTGCTGCTCGTCTGTTGCAAATTCATACACCCATCCGAGCTTAGCGTCACAGTTTTTGCAGCTGACATCTCGAACCATGTGGCGACCTGTCAGCATCACTCTATCCTGCACTTCGCTGTACATTATATCATAGGATTAAATCAAAGAGATATAGATATTCTACAAACATGAAATTGATACATTCACATTTTTTTAACTGTCATATATATCTCCCGCTCTAATTTTTTTTTGGTTTTAATATCTTTATGATTGAGTAAGAAAAAACATACAATTTATAACGAAATATGTCAGTGCCAGAAAATTGAGCATGAATACAATGCACATGTTACTTTCAAAGAACTATCATCTTATTAATAAAATTTTATCTTATAAGAATAATTTTATACAATCGAAAAAATAAAAGGACGCACCTATAATTTAGATTGACGACTTTGTTGAAGAGGAATGCACGTCCTGTAGCACCCGTAAAGCGTGTGCTTACGAGCTGTGACCTGTTGGTGAGGTTGGTGTCACAAGAAGCGCAGGAGAAGAGACGACTGCCACCGATGTGTTCCAAAAATATTACTCCCATCTTGGAAAGCAACGTGGATGACGTATTGAAATCAATCGACGATTGGCAGTGTTTATTTAACGAATTGATACGAATTTCGTGTTGCAGAAAACAAAGTTACACAAAGTTCAATGCTACCACACCATGCCTATTGTCCTGCATTCGGATATACGTCAAGCAGTGGCAGGTGTATACTAACATTTGAAGCAGGAGTGGGGAAATGTTTTCATGATACGCCATAGATCATTGAAATATATGTAGAATTGAAACTTAGTGCGAGATGCAAACGAATATATAATTATATATATATTATTTATAGACTTTTCATATTAGAGTGTAGAATTGAGATTCTATATATAAATTATCAAACATTTTGTATTTTACTAATGACTTTTTCTATATATAAGCTACCAAACATTAGTAATATATAGAATTACTTATATTAAACATATATAAAACTCCGGATAAGCTACTTGGTAGCGTCGCGGCTACTGTACCTAGGCAACATATATAAGCAAACCGTTGACAAGCCGAAACGTCTTTTTTATATACTTGGCGTCGCGACGCTACCGTGTCACAATACAAGTCCTCTTCGGTACCTATTAAGGATCTCAAAAATTAAAAAAAAAGAAAAAAAAAAAAAAAAAAAAAAAAAAAAATCAGACAATACAAAAAAATCATTAATTATATACATTTCCTATATTAATATTACATCATGCAATCACAAATAATATATATATTTTCCTATATATAATAATCGGATAATATTATATGTTATAAAGAATAAGATAAATACAATATAAGATAAATTAGCAGCTGCAAAAACGACTAATAAAAACATAATAAATATTACATCAAAATATTATATTTTTATTATTCATATAAATGGTATTACAATATGTACACGTATATATAGACTTGTGTAAATTACATTCTTTTAAAGCTAGGTACATAGATGTTTTGTGCAGTAAAATTCGAAACACTCTCCCCTGATTTCATTAAATGTCCAATCTTTATACATTGGCAACTCAGCCCGATTGTAAAGTCTTGCACAGTCGCAAATTGCGGTACAATTGTAAAAGCCAAAATGTGGTCAGAAGAGCGAAACGAATCGAAAATATATTGTTGGTCAGTTATTTAATTACTATATTCCTCATATCTCTTCAAGGCACATTTGAAATATAATCAGTACATTCCTTTGCAAACTACAGAAAAACCTATTAACGTTACATGCTTGTTCCTATTACTTTAATAAAGTAAAAACTGAAATAAAGAGAGTTCAGAAATTTAATAAAATTAGATTTTTTATATATACACATGCATAGAAAGATAAAAAGAGAAAAAAAATAGAAAGATATATATATATATAGAAAAAGATAAAGAGAAAACAAAAGAAAACAGAAAAAAGAAATCAATAGAAAAATATAAAAATTCCTTTAGCCAAAATCACAGACAAGTCTCTTACTTTCTCAAACAGAGCACAAAGTCGCATTCTTGTAGTCTTAATGCTAAATTTATATATGTATAATAAGATATATAATTAATATATATAAATATTATAAATACACATTCACATATGTGGATAGTCTTATTACTCTATTACATGCATACATGGATTCACACATATTTTAATACAAAGAGATATTTATTTATCATATATTCGTGTATATACCCGAGAATTTATACAAATTTAAATTTACACGTGTATGTGTCTATTCGCATGTATGCATGTATTACAACATGTAAATAGTGGTCACTTATATGTATATATATATATCGATTATTTTGATTATACCCTTTTGATATTCAAATTGTGTCGCAAAGGATATTCCACTTTGTAATTGTATATAATACTGCACCTATACCTATGTACACATCATACGCCCGTAGAATATATAATAAAATATAAGATAAAATATATTTTCGTGTCTGTACACATATTATCAGAAATGACGATGACAAATTCTCCTAAATGTTATAGTTTGCATAAAAGCGGATATAACGGAATTACTAACTTATATAATCATGCCAATTTGCATATATGATTTTGTATTAAAGAAAGCGATAAATTATAATTGTATGAAATTAAAACAAAAAAATTATTAATTTTATAAAAAAAAAAAGAATGATATAGATCTTTGTACGTTTATATTATGTTTTACTTATTTAATTCAATTCATCTTCACATAATCATAGATAGCTTTATGTTATCTAATCAGGTTTATTGTTGATATTATCATGATTCATAGAATTTATGTAGAATTAGATTTTAAAAAGTCTAATGTAGAAAAAAAGCATAAATAAAGATATTATTTAGAATTTATGATAAAAGTCATGATAAAATATTTACTTTGCATTAAAAAATAATTAATTATCATATATTAAATAACTCAACTATTTTATATATATATACAACAATAAATCACAAATAAAATTTGCTTTTTCCAAACCACAAATAGAAAACGGAACGGAATTAAAAAATCGTAATTCTTGGCGGAATAAATTATAGAAAAAAAATATCTTTCATTTTTCTATCTTTTCAAAGTACAACTATTATTTTCAGTAAAAAGAACATCTTCCTCATATACCGAATAATGGAATAATCTATAGTCAATAATAGTTGTAATGTATACATATATATATAATATCTGTAATAGTAAAGATTAACAATAAAGATACTAACAATAATCATTGTTATCGATACTGTAATAGTATCGTTTATAACAGCACTTGGAAAAGTATGTGTTTCCCAGTAATAGGAAATTACATGGAAAAAATTTAATAAAGTTTTGGTTTTTATAGTGCAATCTTACATATCATTAATGGGTAACACAATTAAACGTTATTTTTGGTAAGTTTCGTTCTGTTGGCGGCAACTGTTGCAAGACATGCTAAAGCTTCAAGATCTGGAGATGCGCACCAAGCTATTAAGGTGTAAAATATATAAATTATATATAATTAATGGAGGATTTTTAACAATACAGAAATTATATGAATTATAACTAAAATTAAATTGTAATAATTTTTTCTGCTTATAGTGTTTTAAAGAGGTTATAAAAAATATTTTTATATATTAAATTTTTTTTCAAATCTATAAATAAAATTTTTTTAAAATGATCAAAGAATTAGCATCATATATAAACAGTAAAAGCATTATAATATTAAATCATTTTCAATTAACAAGTTGATAGAAATTGTTGTATATGTAACTTACATTTATTTGATTCTTGATCATCAGAGTGTTTGGTGGAGTTTATTGCCGCAGCATTCCGCGTAATAGTTTGCTTTCGAGCTTTTCGTTTTTGACTTCCAACAAGATGGGCTTTCTCTAAATCTTCGCTATTCTCATTTATCGTACTCACTCTTTGTGTTTGACCGTTTATTTGATCATTAGAAGACGGATTATTTTGATGTCTTTTGTTTGCTGAAGAATTAAACTTTTGCAGAATTTTCTTTTTTTTCGTACGTTGCTGTTTTTTCTTTTCTTGAAACTCCTCTAAACTCAAAGACGGTAGTGCCTCAATTTTCTTATATATATGTTTCTTCTTTTTCTATAATAAAATGATTTAAATAGAAATAATTTTTTCCAAGAACATACTCGGCACGAAATCTTTTACGTGCCGTCCAAGGTCCGTAATCCACTTGATCTTCGGCTCCTTCAGTTTCTGTATCTTCAGGTTTGGAAGCCTCCATTTTTCCTTCGGCACTGAATATATTTTCAAAATATTTTCACATGTAAAAAAATATACCTTCGAAAAATCTGAGAAAAAAAAGTATGTTACCGTATATATGTACTGTATATATTTACCTTTCTACAAGATGTTCTAGCTCCCCTCGAGAGCTGTTTCCTCCCTCACTGCTTAAGGAATCTGTCTTTTCACTGACATTTGAAGAAATAGAATTTCTTCTTTCATTTGGACGTTCGTCAGGTCTAAATCAGCAAGGAATATTTTTCTTTATAAAGTTATGATCAACGAAATTAGATCACTAGTTATGTTAAAATTATGTTAAAATTTTAATTACCTACCCATTGCTTCCACCTGTTCGTTTCCGTTTGCTTTGTTGGCCAGATGGGCCGATATTTTTCATCTGCTCAGCAAGGAATTTCTGATAACGTAAACCTTTACATGTTCTTTCGCTACGAAAATTATTCTCCTCTGATTGTGTCTGTGTTGTTACAAAGGAATTTATTGCATGTTTCTCATCTTCTATGACCTAAAGTCCAGAAATTTTAATTGATTACACTAGATATAAAAAATCGAATAATATTGCATTGTTCAAAATTTGAAATATTTAATGAAAAATCTGAAATCTATGTTTTCATAAGCAGATCAAATCTCACCATTTCATGTTGTTCGTTGTTATTTGATTCTGCTCTTTTTCTCTTTTTTTCACCAAAAAGATCTACCTTGCAGTCTCTCTTCTGATCATTTTGGAAAGGTGATTCTGTATACCTCTTTTTTGGTGGTTTTGGAACAGTATCATTTTCTATCATATCATTAATTGTTGTCTGTTCTTCAGATGGCTCTATTTTCTGAGGAGTAAAAAGAGAACTGAGTCCACCAATCTGTGATTCATCCGCTAATTTGCCTGGTTGGATTGATTGTCCATCCCGTCTGTCTGATTTTGTACAATCGGAAGACTCATATTCAGATTTGACACTATCTATAAATTGCATGCCACTATTGGACTCTTGCTTCTTGTTGGTAGGCCTAGTATTTAAAGTACGTAATGGAGGTGCTGGTAATTTGTACCATTTGAAGTCAGGGTTCGCATTTAAAAATGCATCCTTGTACTGGAAAAATAATTAAGCTATATATATATGTACATGTTTTTCCTATATAAAACTTCTAACAATATGAAAGCTGTGAGAATAAAACAATGTTTCATTTCTCATAGTAAAAATTTTCGGTCCATTAATTTTTTAGTTGCAATTACACTTACCTCCTGTGCAAGATTTGTGTAGGAACGTTTCTGATCAGGATGAAGGGTCGCCCACCACTCACCCAAGACCCTAGTGACTGCTCTATTTTCTAAATGTGGAAAGCCAGATCGCACCGAACCACGATGCCTTTTACAAAAAATCAGAAATGCATTCATAGGACGTCTTGCATGATGGGCTGGTTCCCGGCTTTCACGTGATTCCTATTAATTTACACAGTGATGTTACTTATATATAATAGTCAGATTACAATTACATTACAAACAATAAATAAATATGATAAAAAAAATAAATGTA